TTGGAGGCCATCGCTCTCAGGTTGGAGGCCATCGCTCTCAGGTTGGACCATCGCTCTTAGGTTCCTGCCAAGTGAGATGGGGAGAGTTCAACATGAGGCAAAAGATTGTAAAAGATAGTAAAAGTCTTGGGCCACGAGTAGTCCATGGAACAGGATCATGTTGAGTAAGAAACACGACGACCGGATCCGCCTGAGAAAAAAGCCCAGGCCTCCTTTTTGGTGTCAAAATAGGTTCAACTCTTTCAGCATTCAGCAGTCCTTCGCCAGTCACATTGAGACACCTCTCATGGATTTCACAGTTGCTTTGTGATCCGCCAGTCGAGATGTTTGAGTCACCAATCGGGCCTGGGTTCTTTCTCGAACGAAAGAGTATCAGCGAACAGAGCTATCATGTTTGGAATTGGTCACGAGGTTTTGTCCAGCCTATCGTCCTTTTCGCTGTCCTGCAGCATCATGTATGTACAGGCGACGCCTCTCGACGCCTCTCTCCCAAAGGGAGTGAGAGAATCCTTCGGCGTTCGTTGTTTGGGGCCTTTTTTTCAGCGCGACGAGGGGTGGGGAGGGTTTCACTCGAGAAAGAGCGGGCCTGGGCAGACCGCACCCAAACGAAGGGAGCGATGCGGCCACGAGACCCGGCGACATGGTCGACCCAAAATTGGAAACCACTGTGTCTCTCAGCTCGGGTGAGTGGTACAGTGGTGATCGGTAACCAGAGTACTCAAAGAAAGGTCTAGGTCCAGTAAAAATATGGAAGATGAAGGTTCCTAGCGTTGTCTTCGACATCTTCGACTTCCACCGAAATTGAAAACCACGAGTCGCATGCGTCCTGGTCTCGTTTTGGATGCCTTCCCTCTCGTTCACCTCTTGGACTTCCCTTTCCCTCGAGTGCGACAGCGGTGCCACTGCACGGCGAGCGAACGCCGAACCCAGCGGTGCCACCGGCGGAGCAGAAGACGGTTCCGGACGGGACCTGCCCAAGTGACATCCGATTCCATGGATTAGGAACAAGTGCATCGCTACTAGTAACAAGTGCCTTACTAGTAGTAACAAGAAGCTACTAGT